CACATTTGAAAACAAACACTGCTCAGATGTCTGGGTTTTGTGAACAACCTGGGATTTCATTCATCTCGTGGGGGTAAATCTACTGTCAGCACATTTCGAGAAGAACAACAGAGCTGTGAACACCAATGAGGAAAGGTAAGTTTAGACACCCAATAGAAACTGTATTGACTAACAACTTTTGGAGGCAACTTGGAAAATGTAACTAATGATTTAACGATCTTTAACTTAAAGGCATTAGAAATATGCAAGGTGAGCCGGTCAGTTTTGCCAAATGGGGTTAGAACTTGGTTTTCTACGCAAAGATGGACACCCGGCTTGAAATTTCTCAAAAGTTCCAAGTTGGTGTCAAGCATATTGACGATCTAGTGGCTTTTTTCTTGGGACTGGGACAGACCCCGGAGCTGCAGCACAGCTCTCCTTGCCGCAGCTCCATCTAATTCACAGTGAGATCGGCACACAATGGGAGTGAGGAATCACTCTGCTGACAAGCTCCCTGCCCTCTCGTCTCTGGAAGAATGTTGGCTGACAGGGACACAATTAAAAAGGGATTGATTTATTGAGCTGGAATGCTCTGGCCCCCCTAATCTCAGAATCTCTCTGATTCATGCAATCACCATTTCCAAACAAGAGTCAGCCTACATGAATGAAACTTTTCGTGATCACCAGGGAGCCAAAGACTTAGTTTACCAAAGGTAGCTCAGCCCTAGAAGCCCATTAAAAAAAACAAAAACCCACATGAAAGAAGCTCTTTCCTGCATGAGGGCCTGGATAAGGATCTGGAATTCAGTAGGAAAGGACGATCTAAACAAAAAGTAAGCAATACTCATGAAAACGGCTAACCTTGGCTCCAGGGAGGGGCACAGGTCAAGAAGAGTAAGTGGGCAAGGAGCCCTCTTTTTGTCTTTTACATAATGAAACTGTAAATTTCTGTTAGAAATCACAGGATCATCAAACATTTGGCATGTCGAAGGGGACGCTGGTGGGATTCAAGGAAGGAAAAAAAAGTCTGGGGATTTGAATTCGCTTCTCCCTTTGAACTGTTTCATTGAACCCAGGTGGTCAAATCTCCGCCGTTTGTATGCATGTAATTATTTACAATTGTTGGGATTTGAGAGGGCACCCAATAGATAGCACCTCTTTTTTTCACTAGGGTTCTGAACTGTTCGTGAAGTAAAACAAAAGACTAGGCACAGGAAAACCGAAATGGAGCATCAGTTTTTTACTCATTAATTGGATGCTGGAAAATGTAGCTTGTATCTTTGCTCTGGTAGATTTCTTGCTGTCAAATTTCCAACCCCAAAAATATTACCTCCCAATCACAGCAGCTCTGGACAGGCCTTTGTGGGATGTGTATGGAGGGGCAGCAGAACGTCCTCCTTGACAGTAGCCTCACTCCCAAGAGAAGAGAAAAGACAGAGGCTGGGCAGCACATACCCAGTTTCTCTTTCCAGATTTATCAGAATAAGAAAACCACTTCTCCCCTGGGGGGAGTAAGTCAGGGGACAAAGAGAAACCAGGTGTGAAGTGGGACCTCTCCCACGTAGACGGAATCGTCATGAGTGAGGAAGAAGCATTCTCTACCTTCACACTTTTGAAATTAATGTAATACTACCACTAATAACAGTAATGACAATAATAAGAACAAAAGTGACCATTTACAAAGTATTTGCTCTGATTCTGAACAGAATACCCTAACTCATTTAATCTTCACAGCAACACACAGAGATAATTTTATGATTATCTCTCTGCAAGAGGTGAGAAAACAGGCAGAGAGGTTGTGTAACTTGTCCAAGGACACACAGCTAGGAAGTGGTACAGCTAGTGCAAACACAGCTTTGCCTGACTCCAGAGCCTGAGTTATGCCGCAGACTCTGCTCTATTGGTTGAATGAATAATGAAGTAAATGAATAAATGAGTGAGGTGAACTAGAGGATACTGTGTCTAGAAGTCTGGCCGTGTTGGGGAATCTGTGTGCAGCTTTGCTAGGTTTGGCAGCCAACCCATCTTTCCCCCAGCTCAGAGGCTGGCCCTGAGGATTTTTCCCTAGAATGTTCTGCCCTGCCAGGCTGAACCAGGCCAAGAAGTACTCCAGCAGGTGGACCTTGGAGCTGGTCTTGCTGTCCCGGGAGCCCAGTGTCAGGGCGTGCCGGGAACAAGAGCCAGGGGGCTGCTTGTTCACTTGGCCACAACCATCCCCTTTGCTTGGTCTCTGACTTGCATTCTAGATTTCTCAGTGGCCTCAAAGCCCTGAATGCTTCCCAGATGGCCACTGGCCTAAACACAGCTGGCCAGGGGAGCACTTAGACAACCCCTCCATGGGAGAGGGATCAACCCATCTCTGCGTGAGCTAGAAATCTGATTCAGACCAGGGGTTGGGGAAGAGTGTAGCAACTGAGGCTGTCTTCAGGTCCCTGTCTCTGGTGGGAATGTCCTCATCTCCTGTGCATATGGCCACCATATTTCCAGGCATCTCCTTCACCACTGGGCATTATACAAAAAACCAGAGCCAAAAATCCAGAGCTTCTGAGATGCCCTGTTCCCTCACTCACTCTTTTTTTTTTTTTTTTTTGAGATAGAGTCTCGCCCTGTCATGTGGGCTGGAGTGCAGTGGCATGATTTCAGCTCACTGCAAACCCCACCTCCCATGTTCAAGCCATTCTCCTGCCTCAGCCTCCTGAGTAGCTGGGATTACAGGTGCTTACTACCACACCTGGCTAATTTTTGTATTTTTAGTAGAGACAGGCTTTCATACTGTTGCCCAGTTTGGTCTTGAACTCCTGACCTCAAGTGATCTGCCCACCTCGGCTTCCCAGAGTGCCGGGATTATAGGCGGGAGCCACCACGAGGCCTCACTTGCTCTTAACACCAACCTGTGATTTATGATTTACATTTGAACGCCCGGAGCCGCAGCATAATCCATATCAGAGCTCCCTCCCTCCAGGTGAGGACCACTTTCCTTCTCCATGTACCCCCTTCCTACTCCCCCACATGCCACATCAGCTTCTCCACCTCTTCCTTGTCCCCATGTCCCAACTGCTCCTGCACAGACTTCTGTTATCTTAATCTCTTTCTTTGGAAACTCCTGTCACTTGTAATCTTCCCCCGTTTCCTTCTCCTACCTCAGGCCCCCTTCGCCTTCTCAGCTTTCTTTTCAAAGATGCTGTATTTCTTTTTCTCCTTATTTGGAGTGATGTGACCTGACAGCGTGTTTGAAGTGGCATATTGGGGATAGAAATATGTGCCTGTTCCCTCCATAGGTTTGTGTGTGTGTGTGTTTTGTTTTTTGAATGGGGCTTTTGCAATCAATTTGTGGAGTCTAGCTGAAAGGGTAAGAAGTTTCCACTTAAAATCAACCTCCTCAAATGAAAATTTTTGGTACATTTTTTTTTCATTGTAATTGAGGTCTCCGTATGCCCCCCATGTATAGGGTTTATTCTGGAAAAGTCTCCCCGAGAAAAGCCTGTCTAGTGCATTCCACTTCTGCTTCAGCCTCAGGAAAATGGATTTCATAAACAGTAGAGGACATATTTGTCCTTTTGTCTTCTTTAGGATTTTCTCTCAGAGAAGTGATGTCAAAAGGAGATGCTTCTAATGGTGCCAAAGGTGGGGATGAGACTAAGCGAGTCAGGCCAGGGTCCACGTGTATTTGAATCTATCCAGGAGAGGTCTCTGTGGACATAAACGTCTATGGAACAAAACAAGACAAAACAACCTTGAAATATTAGCTGAGACCTAACTCCAAACCATCCTGTAAACCACAGCAGATCCAGGCTCTACCTCATGGAGATTGCCTTTTCTTAAGCTAAGTGGCCCTGAAGGAGTCTGGGGAGGATGCCGGTGACATCCCCACCCAGACCCTGTGATTTCGCTCATGCTGTTCCTGCTGCTGAGGATGCTGCATTTGCCCTGCTCTTCAAGGCCTGGTTAAGAGGTAGTCCTTGATGCCACAATCAGTTGGGAAGTTGCTCTCACCTCTGCACATTTGTACCGCTGATCTTACATCTTTTGCATGATACTTAAATTCTGATTGATACTCTAGGAGTTCTTGCATTTTTTTGTGATATTACCACGGGAGCTTTACTTTCTCAGACCCTGACATGAGAGTTTCACCCATGTTTGTCGAGAACGTGAGTTCTCTCTGGCAGCAGATGCTGAGACCAGGAGAGCAGAGATGAGGACACATGACACAGCCCAAGTGGGTGTCTGTAGTTGTACTTAAGTGGCAGGGGATGGAGGAGCAACCAGGGAGATGGTGAAATACGATGTGTCCCGCATAGTGTTTCTTCTTCCTGGGATTCCCCAAATCTTCAGTAAAAATAAAATTCCTGAAGCAAGAAGAATTTCTGTGGAATCAGAGAAGGCATTCACTCATGGGTTGGTGGCATTCCAGGTGACCCAGGAGTGGGCGGGCCAAAGAAACATGAAGAGCCCACCTGTCAGCTGCCCGCAGGGAGTGCAGCGAGGGCTTGGTTCCCATGAAAGGTGAAGACTGTAGTTTCTCGTGAGTTAAATGCCATTTCTTTTGCAGGGTGGCTTGGGGGAACCCAGATGGGTTCTGGGTAGATTTCTCATCTTGTCTGAGAGATTCTTGGGGGAAGAGTGCTAAAATCCGTCCTTTTAGTTCCTCTGGTTCGAAGCCTAGCACAGCAATTGTTGATTTGAATTGAGATACTCTGAGGCAGGTGGCGATTTCTTTGCAGGGGAGCACTTGCTACCGGACAGTTTGTTTCTCCTACGTAGTATGACATAATGTGCTTTTTCTTCCATTTTTATATTTGATCCTCACAGTGAGCATGGATGATAGACTTTGTATACAGAGAAAGAAAATGGGACTCATGGAGGCTGAATGACTTCCTGAAGACCGCACAGCTAGAAAGTAGCAGAACTGGGACTTAAATTTAGAGTTCCTTGCTGCATATCTAGTGCTTGGTCAGTCTTCCACACCAGGCAGCCTCCTGAGCTCTTATAAATCAAGTCAGGTTGAACGGGGAGAATCTGGGAAGCCGGATTGCAGAGCCCTCTCTGTTAAGTCCCAAAGGAAAATGATATAGTCTGAGAGTATGAGCTGATGGTAGGACACTGTCTTCTTTCTGACACTATCTTCATGGAACATTTTGGTCATACAGAGATAAGAGAGAGTCCCAGAATGACGTCCAAAGGAATTTCAGGACCGTAAAGCCTGGAACCATCAGAAAACATTAGCCATCTGGATCACTGAACAAGAGTACTCCTTTGAAATGTGAAGGATTCTTATATGGATGTCCACCCCACCCAGAAGGCCATCATTGTTGCTGGTAGGATGTAATCTACAATTTGTTGCCTTTACCACCATGTTATGCATTGATTCCTACATCAAGAGACACGTGGGGTATGTGTCATTTTCCTCCTCTTTACAAACGAGAAAAATGAGGCTCAGATTAAATTACTTGCCCACATTCATGCAGCTAGTAATGGAGAGATGTGGAATACAAAGCCATATTATTTCTTAATTCAAATGCTGTGTTCTCAGCCACGACGCTATCATGGCTCCAAGTAGACATTTGCTGATTGAATGGAGTTGAATCGCACTACAGGAGCGACTGTGGCTAAGAGCCAAATGTCTAGTACAGACAGAAATGTGCAGGAGTAGAGAGAAGGGTGGATTGCCGGGAGAAAGCGTGGTGCTGTCACACGGGACCGTTGGTGGCCTCGCCATTGGGTCAAGCAAGCAGTTGGTGCTGGGGAGTATGGGGAGGGCACACGGGCCTTCCCAGGCAGCTCGAGAAGGATGAGACCGTATAGGAAAACTGACTTAAGATGAACCCTGCCAAAAAGGGCTACTCCGTCACCAGCCTCGTCTGAGGTCATATTTCAAAGACTGGCTCGGGGCCACTGGCTGGGGTGCAGGGCTGTGAGATCATGGCTGAGCAATCTGACTTTTAAAAAATATAAGGACCAACTTGGGAGTTTTATCGCTGTTCTGCCGCCCAGGCATGAAGTCAGCTGGCCTGCTCGTGACAGGGAGCGTTTCACTTGTAATTAGCTGGGTGGTTTTTTTTTTCTTTTTTTTAAGTTCTGCCTAAACAGTGGTGGGGTGTGAGTGAGCCCGTTCCCTTGGAGCTGCCCCACAGCAGTAGCGGAGGTGAGTCATGGCCATAAAATCTGGAAAGCTCGTGGGGGGATGGAGGGCGGTGGAGAAATATAAATTATTGTGATCGTCTTTCAGGAGTGCTCGGGTTAATTATTGCACTTTCACCAGCTGCGTTGTGCCTTCATCCATGCCGAGCCAGAAGTGATGGTTTTAGTGGGGAAAGGGTCGTTCTCTAATGGGGCAGAGGCCTGCAAAGCCCTGTGTTCTTTTGAGGGAGGCTGGGTGCGTGAAATTCCCAGCACCAGCTGGAACCTGTGCGGATTTGCTCTGAGACACTTGGGTGTGAGCAGCGTCACGTTTTCTTTATTTTTCTTAAGCAAATAAATCTGGCTTGGCTCTCCACCTGCCAGGGCTGGCAGGCAACTCATTCTTAGTTATGTCTTTTTTGGTGGGGCAGCGGGGGGGAGTGAGGGGTTCTTTCTTTCCTTTTTGAGGACATAAGGAAGCCCTGGGAATTAGGTAATTCAGCAAGATCTAAAGGCATGTTCCTGGCCTTGGATCCACTATGAAGGAATAATTGCTCATGGCCTGCAAAGTACCATTTCGAAGGGGGCTCCTGATCTTCCTCCATCCCAACCCTGGGCCAAGGGGTTCTGGGAGAGGCTCCCGCAGCTTGTTATCTTGTGTTCCCTCCAGGCCCAAGCCTCAGTATCCACTATCTGGTGCCACAGGTCTCTACCATCAGAGACTTTTAAACCAGCTTCTTCCCCAATCTCAAGGAAAACACATAACATCTCAGTATGGGTCACCTCTTTTCTCTCTTTCCTTTTTTAAATTGCCTGTTGCTTATTTTTCACTTGAGGACAGGGTCTTGCTCTGTTGCCCATGCTGGAGTGCAGTGGTGCAATCTTGGTTCACTGCAGCCTCAACCTCCTGGGCTTAAGCGATCCTCCCACCTCAGCCTCCTGGGTGGCTGGGACTATAGGCATGTGCCACCACAATTGGCCTTTTTTTTTTTTTTTTTTTTTTTTAAAGAGATGGGGTCTCAGTATGTTGCCCAGGCTTGTCTTAAACTCCTGGCCGCAAGATGGTCCTCCCACCTCAGCCTCCCAAAGTGCTGGGATTACTGGTGAGACACTGTGCCTCACCACACCTCCCCTCACAGGTGAGAGCCACCTCCCCTCATCTGAGAGAAAGAGAAAGAAACAAAGAGGAGAAAAGAAAGAAAAAGACCAAACCAAATCAAACACGCAAAAACAGAAGTTATGTTAATTTTCTTCCTTGGCTATTTGTTCAGAAAAGGAGAAGATGACTTTTTAATTCTTTGTATCTCCTCTGGCAAGGAAAAGGTAGAACCACTTCTCCATGTGTTTATCATCACTCCAGCTGGGTGACCTGGAGCAAATGACTGACATATTTTAAGGATTAAGTGACATGTCCGATGTCAGGCACTTAGTGTAGAGCCTGACCTGGAGTTGGCTATCAGAACACGGTTATTGGTGGAGGACTGGGAGCTCTGTGAAGGTGACTATTTCTTCTCCATCCTTGAGGACAGGAGCTGTAGTTTGCTTATCCCTGTATCCTCAGCAACTGGGCACCCAGTAGGCATCCAAAAATACTTGGTTAACTGGATAGTTGTAAAAGGTGGAGATTTCAGAGAGGCTGAGAAGACCAAGCTTCCTTTACCAACCCAGGCCATGTCCATAGTAGACCCATGCATGCACAACGTGTGACACAGTGGTGTCAAGACGTAATCAGGTGAGGAGGACTACAGATTTAGTATTACTCACTCTGAATACCAAAATCTTGACTATAAGAGATAGGGTAACTTGAGCATTTTCTATGTTTTAACAAGAGCATGTTTCCCCATTGACCATCCTTTATTAGGGCCATTTCTGGGGCTTTCTCTCCCATCCTACCTGTGGTTTCTGTGAGGTTTATCTGTCTCAGGTCATAGAAAAAATGGGGGTATGCTAGAAGGAGAGTTTGATGGGGCTCAGATAAATCCCAAGTCATAGCAGATGACTTTCTTCTGTAGGATCAATGGACAATTCACAGGTGCGGTACAGGTGTATATAGCTAAGCTGGCTTCTTTACCCAGTTGGTTTGGAGTGCTCGTTTATATGGTAGGCTATAGCCTGCAGGCAGTGGTGGGAGGCCTTCCAGGTACTGACCGGCAGATTCCTATGGCTTCCCCACTCTCCCTATTTAAGCCAGTTTTGGTCCTTTTCATTCTAGTACTCCCTGCCAAATTCCCATCTCCTGCAATGTCACATTTCTGGTCCCGTTGTTTCCCTGCCAGACCAGGTGCCCCTGATGCAGGAGTGAGCTTGTCTTTCCTCCCATGCTCTTTCCAGTTTTATGGGTATAGCTTAAACTCTGCACTTTTCTGCCCTAAAGCCTTCCTTTTTGAATCTTAAGAAACTATTTTGGAAATGAAAAAAATCACCCGGTTTCTGCTTTGTCAGTCCCACATCTTCCCAAGGCCAGCGATGCTCAGACTGACCAGGTGAAGGATATGCGAGTGAAAATGAGAAAAAGAACAGCACCCAGTATATCCTTGCGGTACGGTTAGGCCTATATCCTGATACCTGAAGGAATTCTTCCACTGGGAACTTTATGAAAAGGGCTGAAGAATTTGCAAAAAGAACTTGGCTGACCCACTATTAAAAGAAAGCAATCTGAATTATGATGCATATTGAGTACTGGTGAATGATGGACAGAGGAGTCACTGCACACTCATATTTAGGATACACTGATTTGATTCACAATCATACCATCAATTATACCGTTACTTAATCCTGTATCTGACATGGGAGGAGATATGACCCGTGTGTGTTGTGGGGAAGGTGGGAGAAGGTCAGAGAAGATCTGTTTAAAGAAACAACAGTTAGGCCGGGTGTGGTGGCTCACACCTGTAATCCCAGCACTTTGGGAGGCAGAGGCGGGTGGATCACCTGAGGTCAAGGGTTCAAGACCAGCCTGGTCAACATGGTGAAACCTCACCTCTACTAAAAATACAAAAATTAGCCAGGTGTGGTGGTGTGCACCTGTAATCCCAGCTGCTCAGGAGGCTGAGGTAGGAGAATCACTTGAACCTGGGAGGCGGAGGTTGCAATGAGCAGAGATCGTGCCATTGCACTCCAGCCTGGGTGACAGAGCAAGACTCTGTCTCAAAAAAAAAAAAACAAAAAACAAAAAACAAACAAACAAAAATGACTACAGTTAAGCAATGACTCAAATGACTTGAGTTAGGGAGGCAGAGGGCAGTAGGGAAAAGAGGATTCCACGCAGGCATGCAAAAGCCCAAGACAAGCTTGAACTATCAATGGCTGATGTGGCTACAGTGGTGGGAGCAGGTCAGGAGGGACGGGGGACAAGGAGGAAAGACAGTTAAGTGTCCTGGACTGGGAACACTTCAAATTCTTTTTAGAGCTAATGAGAAGCAATTGGGCAGGGCTGAGGGGGACAGAGATATGGTCTGATTTGCAACGTTAAGTTATGAAACTACGAGAAGTTTCCTGAATCACAGAGGCCAGAGGCCAAAAACCATTTGCTCCAGAGACCTCATAAAACTGAAGGCAGAAATTTTTGTCAGCTTGAGGGATGGCTTGAGGTCACCTTATTTTGCTACCTTGCAATGGTGGCTGGGAGAAGGGAGACAGTCTTTGCTGAGAGCCTATTCCATATTAATCATGATAAGTGGAGAAAAATAGCTGATAAAATAATTCTTTCAAAGTCTATGCATATTAATAGAGGCACTGGGGAGAGAGTGGTGCTGACTTTATAGGATGAATGTCTGATGGCAGGATTTCAGACAAAGTGGTACTTGGTAAAAAGTAAAGTAATCTTTAGGCTAGGGGCCTTCCTAAATCTCTGAAATAAAAAGGTGAAGGCAACCAAGTGACATTTTATTGATACAGATTGATAATGGAAGAGGAAGTTAACTCTTTCTGTGTACCTAGTATGCACTTGACCTGAGTTACGTGCACTAGTGATATCTCATGGAATCCTCACAAGAAATAGTTGGGTGAAGTTTATTTAATACCTAATGAGAAATATTTGGTGATAATAGAGAAGTCACAGCTTTTTACAGAAGAAGACTGAAACTTGGGGCAGTTGAGTACATTGCTCAGGTGACATGGTGCCCATGAGGCAGAGCCTAGACCCCGCTCAGGTTTAGGGGACTTTTCAAGGCCCTCTTCCCACTTCTCAATCTGCTGGTGACTGATTTTGTTTCTCAGAAGCACCCCACCCTCAGGGTTTCAGAACGCCTTCTTTCTGCTCCTGTCTCTACCTTTCTTCTTTGATGGCTGCTTCCTCCATTCCCAGTGGGAACGAAGTATCCAGGAGACCCATGGGAGCATGGGAGAGTTTGGGCTGGAACATCTAGATGGTGGAGACCCTTGGAAACCTTGGGAGGAAGGGATCTCTTGGGCCACCCCCACCAACTCTTTGTACTAAGTATTCATGAAATCCCAGAAGCTGACCCAAGGGACCCTGGCCTCTTACCCTCACTATTCAGAAGCTCTCTTGTTCACGGCCACATTATGACTTCTGTGAATTTGAGGCACAAACGTGCCTTTGTGGGCCCCTTCCTTCAAGTAAGCATATGAAAATAATTTAATAGATCATTGAGGGCCCTAAACATTTCATTTTTTTTCTGATGAGAAAAAGAAAATTAAAACATTTAATTCAATTCTATCAGTTCATTTATCTTTCCTTTGGATTTTAAGGAAATGAAAACATTTTGTGGGCCCTTAAAAGCAAGGGAGTCCCTAGGTACTGTGCCCACCTCCCTGATGGAGAGGTCATCTCAGTGCTCATGGATTAGGAGAAGACATCAAAAGTCTGGCAGAACCTGCTTGGGGGCTTTACTGTCCTGGTGCCTAGATGCAACTTCCCTTAGTTAAGACTAAGGTGACTGTGAAGAAGCTGTGGCAAAGGCGGAAGCCAGGGTAAGGTCAGCCTGGACTTTACAGAGCCGGTGGAAGCCTTGTCTCTGGTTCTCACACATCCTACTATCTGCATGCGTGGTTTCCTCATCTGGA